GGGGGGGGGGGGGGGGGGGGGGGGGGGGGCTTGCACCCTTGCTCTTTCTTTGCCGTATGAAAACCATGCTTCCTCTGGAGAGTAAGGGTGGGGAGGAGGGGGCCGTGCAAGACTTGGAGTGGGGGCAGGCTGAGTGGGGCAGAGGCTGAGTTTGGTGGATGGAGAAAGGGGCTTGAAAACCAGACTGCTGATTCCACAGGAGGTGTGTAAAAGGCACGCCAGGGTTACTCCCAATCCCAGCCAACATACACAGAGACGCCTTCACACCCACACACACACACACACACACACACACACACACACTCGCTGAACACACAAGGTACGCACACGCACGCACACACACGCCCACACACACACAAGCAGCACAGGCTAGAGCCCCGAGAGTACTGAGGAGGGCAGAAAGCAGGAGGGAGGGAATGAAGGAAGTTCTTGAAAGAAAGAGCTGGGACTGAAACTTGGGTTAGATGGGAGCGAAGGGGGGCCTGGGTCCGGTGCTGCCGCTGTGTTGAAACAGAAAAAATAAACGACAAACAAAAATCAAAACTGGTGGAATGGATCATTTCTGGTTCTTCAGCTGGTTGGAGAGCCAGTCCAGGCCCTCATACAAGCCATCCCCACTGGTGGCACAGGTGGCCTGGATGTACCAGCTGCGCTGGCGGAGGGCGTGCAAGCCCAGCTTGTCTGTGATCTCTGCAGCGTTCATAGCGTTGGGGAGATCCTGGAGAAGAACAAACAGTTGGTCACGATCAAGGTTACAAACATGGATACCTCCACGTTCAGTGTTTTAATACTCTAGATGTCCGTTACACTGAGTCACGTGTTTCAGATACATTTTTTTAATTCATCACATGAGAGGACACATTTCCTCCTTTGCCTCTCTGCACCTGTGTGGCTGTCATCACTACCGCTGTCTTTCACTTGACACCGAAGCTGCATCCACATCCTCCTCTTCATCATCATCATCCACCTGAATGTTACTACCTGACCTGCTGTTAGTAGCTGTCTGAGTTATGAAATGCTTCTGTTCCTCTGTCTCGTCTCAGCTGTGTCCTGCCGCCACAGTTTCTTGGCTGATTCTTGGTCAAACGTCTCTGACAGAGGTGAAAAGGCAGGAAATTGAACGTGTTCCGAAAATTTAAATGACGGGCAAAGGTTTTGGATTCAGTATGCAAACGTGATCGACACAACGTGAGGTCGTATTTATGTTTAGACAGACTCAGTGTGCTGAGGTCTTTAGTCTCATCTTGAGACCGACTGCACTTTTACTCAAGTCTTGTCGCAGTCTCAGAAAAAAACAATTTGAGATTTGAACAAGATTCAGAACTGTTCAAGACCACAGCTGCAGGGATATCACTGAATTAACTTTGCAAAAACAGCATTAGATAAAGATGGTTAAGTTGATTTCAGCTGCTTAGTGTTTGTATTTGTTTACTCACTGAAAACAAAAAAACATTCCCACATGAATTCATCTCTGCGAAGCCTTTTAATTATTTATTAAAGAATTTATTAAGGTGCACTTACACATACACACACATACGGTATATTGCATTTAAAGAGAGAAATATGGAGGAGCTTTCATTTGTTTTCTGTGGGTGTTTTTATGTGAACGTGGATTCTTCAGATCAGTAAGACGACTGCCTATGGTTTATAGCTTTCAAATTTTAGTATCACGCAGAGTGGGACTCACACTGGTCTCGTCTTGGTCTTGACTCGTTCTTGATAGACTCTGGTCTTAGTCAGGATTTAGTCTCAGTTAAGGTGGTCCTATAATCTAGCAATTTAAGGGGAACAACTACAGGTAGAAACAGGTCTTTCATGCACTGCTCTTTTCTTTTAATATTTCTGTCTATCTTGCTTCCATGATACTGAACACACACCAAGCAGCACCGAAGTGTGTCCTGCAGCGAGCTGCCATGCGCTGTCTATGGAGCATCTGCTCTGAGCTTCATTTAATTCTACGGCAAAGTGTGACCCAAGTAAAAGTTGTGGAAAGTTAAAAATTTAGCAGCTACTTGCGGCCTGAGAACACCAGCAGCCGTAAGTAAACAGTCCTGAGACTATAGTATAATTATTGCTGCAAGCAGCTCTTTGCTGCTGCTCACTGTGTTTTCTGCACAACATGTCTTCTTTTAGACTCAGGCTGGCACGATATTAGATTTTCACAACATGATTATCGTGGCCAGAAGAGTTCAAAGTTCTCTTTTTTTAACCTCTTTATATAAACTATTTTTAAAGTTTTAGACACAACATGAACACCCCAGAGAACACTGTAGGGGCACAGCGGTTGAGTATTAATGAGTCCACGTGTTAAAAGGACCTTTAATTGTCCACAGACGTTCACAGTGTAGCTGCGTCTATGTCTTCGGAAATAAAGACAGGAGTATTGCTCCTCTAGACCTCAGAGAAACAATGTCCATCCATTGTTTGGCTTGGAGGCTCAGGTTTGTACCAAATAATTCCTCATTTACATAGATGAACTTAAGATATCAGAAAACCTGTAATACCAAAAATACCTGTCATGTAATGTAATATAAGTTCTCAACTGAGGAGGTGTCACAGTGAGATCTCCCCTATTCACCTGTAGCGTTTCCTCTTAAGACAACGTAGACTTCCATCTCAGTTTAACTGGTACATAGAACATACCTTAAAGTGACCTCACCTGTTTATTTGCAAAAACGAGCAGCACGGCGTCTCTGAGTTCGTCCTCAGCGAGCATTCTGGACAACTCCTCCCTCGCCTCGTTCACTCTCTCTCTGTCGTTGCTGTCCACCACAAAGATAAGCCCTGCACACAAAATACAGTTCACACTTAATACAGATATATGCATTTTACTTACTGGCTGAAGCACAGAAATGTTGAATTATAATCATTTATCTTCTGGTTCCTAAACATTTTCTTCCTGCAGATCAGAAGCTGTGACTTTGCCCCCGTTGATAATTCACTCTGTACAAACTATTCCTGCTGCTGAAAAAGTCTCTTTGACCCCAAAAGATCACTAATATTCATACGATGAACTGGACGAATGCAACTCAGTGGTTCTAACGTGGCGATTATCTTGATCAATAACTCCAAAACATTTGAGAATTATTCTGATGAAAATGAACCGCTGAGAGTCAGCTCAGCTGTGAAGATGCCTACGTTACAGTCAAGTGTTGAAAACAGCCAATTTAAAAAAATAAACTCTAAATGTGTCACTCTGTAACTGTAGGTCTGTTTAGTGTGAACATTATATCAAGCCAAATGATGACAAAACACTTGAATCATGCTGTCTGACAATGTCACACTCACTCCCATTAATTATGTAAAAGCATCATGATGAAGACGCAGACAGTTTATACTTCTACAGTCAGACGGCTCAAATCAACCTACAGAGCTGCATGAGTGTGTGTTGATATTTCACAAAACAAGAAGCAAGAGAGGATCTAGTCAATGCAGTGTTCGTAAACTTCCTGTTTATGAGCCAACACATTTGATAAATATTTCATCATCTCTGTAGCTCAGTAAACACACAAACAAGTTATTACTATGGACAAAGTTGTCACATAGACAGCAGCCTGTGAAGGAGCTGCTCAGGTTGTTGCACCAGAATCTGTACACAGCAGCTCTGTGTTTAATCACAGACCCTCTGCAGGCAGCAATATATCAGTAAAATAAAGTCATCACTGCTCACTGAGGGCACGAGGTCTAACTACAAAGCTTTAGTCTTTCTTTCTGTCGTGTTATTATCCAAATAATGTAACACGACCACTGTCATGGTATCAGGTAAGCATGTCCCAACCCAATCTCAGCATCGAGACCCATCGACTCTTTTTTCTTTAACTGGTGGGGGTCGGCCATATTAAGGCCCAATCCTATCTTTTGTTTTACACCACTGCATCGAAAAGAGCAGAAGTAGTAGCCTGGTATCTGATGGCAGTTTAGTATGCTCTCAATGATTTCTGAGGGAGGCATTTTGGCGCCGTTTATCTCACAGTGGAGCAGTGTGTCCTGACCTCTTTGACTTGTGACCTTAAAACACACGAGTGTGTATCTGTGAGGCCCGATCACAGGCCGTCACGGCCTCAGTGAGGACTTTAATTAGCAACCAATGAACGATGTTTCCACCACATACTATTTTATTTGAATTTTGAGTGGCCTGAGGTTGTGTTGTCACCATACTGGAGTTTTAATTTTTTTTTTTTAATTATTTTTTGGGGCTTTTTATTGATAGTGCAGCTGAAGAGTGATGGGTAAGGGGGGAGACAGAGGCAGTGAAGGGCCACAGGATGGATTCAAGCCCAGGCTGCTGCCAAGGAGTCAGCCTCAGTGGGGCACATACTCTACCAGGTCAGCTAAAGTTTCTAACTTTGATACAATACCTTGAAAAATATTAAATAATCAACACCATCTTTGATACCAGGAGGAAATACCGACAGTAAAATGTTAAGTTTTGGATAAAAGATGTGCCTAACAGGGGTATAAAATGACAACAACCACTTTCCTTTACCTTGGTTAGCAGCTATGAAAACAGCAGACTAATGCATCAATACTGTGAAAATGAGTATTTAAACGGTTTCAAATATTCAGTATCAATATGGATCCATAAATCAATATGTTTAACACAGCTAACCTGAAGCAGTTTAAGTATTTCACGAAAAACTTTTTGAGGTCAGAAAAATACACTTTCACACCCCTTTCTTATCTTTTTAATCATCTTGTTACCCCCTCATATTTTGGGGCCCCTTAGGTGGTCCCAAATCCCAGCTGTGATATTTTCCAGTCAGAGAGTCAGTAGGCCTGCGTATATATGCTGTATCACACATCAGCATCTTTATATGTTGAGAAAAACTCTTGATATCTTCTGGAGGAAGGCATTCAGTTTGTGAAATACTCCTGGGCCTTTATTTGATGTTGTATTCTGTATCTACTCATCATCACCAAAGGGATTCACACGTTCAATTTCACACTTGGATGTTCAGTGTATGGACAGTGATGTTTGCTGCATCAGCTTTAGATAATACAGCAGGCCCACAGGTAGTGTGGATGGAGCTGCTGAAATATTTATAGGATTAAAACTACAACCAAATACCAGTTCAGCTGAGAGTTTACCTGCAGGTTGCATCATCAGTAGGAAACAGTAAGCAGCATCAGTCTACAGTGTCTTCACATATTCTGATGAATTCAGTTTCAGGAAATAGCAGAGGAGTCACACAATACGCCCTCTGAGAACTGAACAATGGTGCCTGAGTCATTAGTGACTAGCTTTAAGATCATCTTTTATGCACCATGAGGCCACCTATAGGCAGTAATGTTCACTGACACTGCTGCATGCTAACACAAAGTCTCCTCTCACCTTGAGTGTTCTGGAAGTAGTGGCGCCACAGCGGCCTGATTTTGTCCTGACCGCCCACATCCCACACTGTGAAGCTGATGTTCTTGTATTCTACAGTTTCAACATTAAAGCCTGGACACAAAGGGAGAAACATGGATGAGTCACCAACTGGTTGAAAAACTTTGTACAATTCAAGTTTTGACTGCTGAAAGGGATTGAGAAGCTGGAAATACAACATGCCTAGGTATCAAACCTGAATACTTCTCAATGAGTCCATGAAACATGCATAAAGACTTCTGTATGAAATACTGAAAGCTGCCATCAAATCTCTGGACAGATTCATAATCTTGTGTTCTTATTATTTTCATCAGATAGATCCTGATTTATTTTACAATTTTGCACATTTCAGACTGTTTCACTGATGTAGAGTTCAAGTACAGCCGATTGTGTTGGTAAAACACTCAAAAACACAACTGTCAAGTGACAAAAATGGACTGACACAATCAAAGATATCCATACCAATGGTGGGAATGGTGGTGACTATCTCTCCAAGCTTCAGTTTATATAGGATGGTTGTTTTTCCAGCAGCATCGAGCCCAACCATTAGAATCCTCATCTCTTTTTTGCCAAACAGGCCTTTGAATAGAGTTGCAAACATATTCCCCATGATGACGAAGCTGTCAGAGTAGAGGAGAAAACATGGTTAGGAGAGTAATGTCTGTCACGTTTCAGTTTCACGGCAGTGTACGCCAAGAGGAAAGGAGGAAACAAAACTGTACCATCAAGATTACCACCAGCCAGTGAGACTGGTATACTGGTGGTAGATTTAACACATCCTTATTGTTCAACAATTCACAAAGGCACAGATGCATTAACAAAACAGACTGACAGTGGTGGGATGTAATGTAACCAAGCAGGGTCCAAAACTAACACTCACCAATTACGGGTAGATTTTGTCTCTGGCTGGTACATTTTTAAGACCACTTGCCACTCTGGCGAGTTATTTTTTTACCAGTGAAAAATGCATTTTTTGTTACTGGAGAACAATCCTGGTATCAGCTGGTTTCCTGGCAGAGTAATGTGTATTTCAGGCAGAGATGATCTTTGGTCACGTAAGTGTGTCACATGCATTTGCGACTAAAAATAGTTTTGTGCGAGTGAACAAAAGAAAACATTCAGGAGCACGCTGTGCTAGTAGGCTACAGATTTCAACCAGCAGCAGAAACGAAAGGCGAATCCTGTCGGTTGTGGGTTGAATGGGGGTCACAGACACAGACAGGAATGCGTATTCCTGTCAAATACGGCGGCTATAGTGCTCCGCGGTGCAAGATAACGGCTTACCAGCGACGGAGAAGCCCGACTCCAGGTCCAATAATTTCCTCTTCGTTGGTGTCATGATTGCCCAGTAGTACCTGGACAGCCGAGCCGTGGCGGCACACAGGTATGTGACGTGTCAGAGGAGAAACAAGCCGTTCACATTTCTCTCTTTGTGGCAGGTAACAGTCCACAAACCTCACCGCACTTAGGGACTGTTCTTTACTTGTCAGAGGAGGAGGGTGGCTGGTTGATTTTTATTTTCTTTATTTATTTATTTTATTTCGATCCCTACGTTAATCAGTTGGTGCAGTTTCACTTAAGTAAAAGAAAATGACTGAACAACTTTCACTTGTATTGGAGTAATATTTGACCAAGAGTATCTTTACTTTCACTCAAGTCACGTCGTTGAATACTTTGTCCACCACTGGTCAGACATTCATGTTTATATAGGGCAGGCCCTGCTGTTGCAGTCTGGTCGAGCTAAAATCTCATGTCTCAACTGTCCAAAGGAGACTGAAGTCAGTGATTCATGTAAAATTCCTTAATGAAAGAGTCTTTTTGCACTGTAGTGAGAATACTACAGAATTTATTAACCCAAATATTACATTTAACTATTGAAACAGTTATCCATATTTTAGCATACATTATTACTAATATTAGTGCACACTATTAAAATATTGATCGAGAATTGCATACAAGACCCAAATGACATGCTAAATACTACTGATAGCAAAATACAACACTTAAAAGCAATTTTTATTTGGTTGGCTGGTAAAATATCAGCCTGGCTGGTAAAAAAAAAAAAGTTAGTTTTGGACCCTGTAACCAAGTACAGCCAACATTTAACAAGTGGGAGCGTCTCCCTAGTTTTGAAAAAAATAAAATAAAACATGCTTATATTTCACAAAGTTATAATATTGGTACCAGGAACTCAAAATTAAGAAACCTTAATGTACCCAAATACCATATTTAAGCACACATTCGAGGAACTTGTGCTGTATTTTACTTGACTATTTCCATTTAATGCAACTTTCTACTCCTACTCTACTAAATTTCAGAGTCAAGTACTGTACTTTTTACTCCACTACATGTACTTGATAACTTTGATAATGTGTCACTTTGCAGATTTAGATTAATTACACAAAAAAACTTAAACTCTGCTCCACCTTTACCAGGTGCAACATGTAAGTGATAAACACACACCACATCAATAATTATAATCCAGTATTATAATACATGTTATTGTGGAGTGGACCAGTCAGCATAATGAGTATTTTTACTTCTGGTGCTTTTAATAAATCTTGATGCTAATACTTTTGTACTTACTCTAGTAAGTCTTTTACTTGTAACTTGAGTATTTCCGCACTGATGTAGTGTTACGAAGGTAAAATATCTAAATACTTCTTCCAACACTGCAGTTTGATGACAGCTGTGACTTTAATGCATCAATAATCATAATAGAGTAATATAAATTATTCTGAAATGGGCCAGTCTGCATAATGAGTACTTTTACTTCTGGTACTTGAGTATATTTTGATGCTATTACTTTTGTACTTTAACAAGTCTTTTACTCTTAACTGAAAATGTTTACACTGTAGTGTTATTACTTTATTGAAGTTAAATATCTGAATACCTTTGTCCAACACTGCAGGTTAAGGACAGCTGTTTCTGAAATGGGACCAGTCTGCAAATGCCTAGTATTACTTTTGGTATATTCTGATGCTATTACTTTTGTACTTCTACATATATAAAAAACTTTAAATTGTAATGACATACTTTTACACCGTAGTATTATTAGTTTTTCTCAAGTAACATACCTGAATACTTCTTCCAACACTGCAGGATGATGACAGCTGGGTATTATTGCATGAGTGATTATAATTTTACATTTTGACAATACTTTTGTACATTTACTCAAATAAGACTTTTTGTTGTACTGGAGTACTTTACACTTTAGTATTGTTACTTTAACCCAAGTAAAACATCTGAATACTTCTTCCACTCCTGTAGGCTGATGACAGCTGTGTATTTAATGCATCAGTAATTATAGTTTTTACTTTGAATTCTTTTAGTAAATTTTGATGATATTTTTGTATTTACACTTAAATAAGACTTGATTGTAACGAAATACTTTTACACTTTAGTATTTTTACTCTAACTCAGGTTAAACATCCGAACACTTCTTCCACCCCTACAGGTTGATGACTGTTGAGTATTTGCTCGAGGAAAACGCAGATTTTCGCTGAACCAAAAGGGGGCACAATGAATGTAACATGCTGGGAACACAAGTGAGATGTTTACTTAAGCTAATGGTTAAACGTCAAGGTAACAGTTTAATGGCTATACGTTAACAGCCAGTCCAAACCCTCAACAACATCAACCATTATCTAACGTTTATCTGCATTAAATCTACAACATCATATTTAAATCTTAATGATTATAAAGTTAAAAATCATACATGTAAAGGCAGCTGCGTTAACCCGAATAAACTCAACGGCTAGCTGATCACCAGATAAGAAAGGCCTGTTCCAGCTGGCAAACTCTGTCCCTGTGTGCAATAGCGGCAGGGATAATGTTACTGTGTGTGTGTGAGCCGTCACAAGACGATAGCTTGCAAACAACACCTCGACCTTAGCAAAAGGCCGACGATCCGGCTACGTTTGTGTCCGTGTGGGTAAAATGTAGAGCACATGTGTGTAAAATGGTTGATTAATTTAGATATGTTAATAACCGACACCAGGTAGCGTTAGCTAGTTACTGGAACTCGAAGCAGATAACGGTTATCCTAACTAAGGGCGGATGCTTCTGCTTGTTAGCATGCTAGCTTGTGTTAGCCTTCACCTAGCGGCAGCGGTACAATTTCGCGGACGTTAACGGTCCAAAGAGCACCGTCGTTCACAAAACACGGCGACTGACATATTTAACGCGGACATGATTTGAAAACCGGTGGGTGAAATCTGAGCCCCGTATTTTATCAACCCGACACTGACAGCTCTTTGATCTGTCCGTTAACGTTACAGGAACTGCTTTAGCGAGCTGGCTACGGTTAGCCGCCGTTAGCTAAATGCCGCGTCACAGTAACTAGAGAACACCGTGACGTCAGGTTAAACGCTAAAGAAAGCGAGCCGCTCGCGCAGCACAACACTCACTCCAATTAATAAGACATTTTAAGGCGAAAAGCAGCGTGTGTGCGGTAGTTACCTTTAGAAAGACAGCTTCTCGATCTTTCCGTTATCTTTCACTGTCACTCCAAAATGGCGTCTTGCGCAACCTGGGAGACACCGGCGTACGGGGACTTCCCACTATCAAATCCGCTCCAATCACAGTGCAGGTGGTGTCACTAATAACCCGCCTTCTGCTGTCAATCACGCTATCTGTCCAATCAGCGCGTCGGCAGACCCCTGTGTGCGCACAGTGCACAAAATGTCGAGGAAGTGAATTCGCTCATAAGTTTATTCAAGTTTCAGACACAAAACCGACTGACTGGGCTGAGAGACGTGTTTTCCTCAGTGCTGGAGAGTTAGTCACATCAAAATACACACTGTGGAAATCATTACAAGTCCTGCATTCAAAACTCAAGTATGTACCAGCAAAATGTACTTCTTAAGTGGGGGGTGAAACTCAGCTTGTGCAAAGGCCACTGGAGCACCCAAACCACTGCATTACAACCCAGTGTAATTTTTCCTGTTTTAGTGTGAAGATTCTGTTAACATTCATCAATTTACAGAGCAAATGATGATCAGGCTGTGACGTCCTTACATAAATATGTGCAAATTCAACAGCACGTCTCAGTTTTTCCACATTCAGTCAAGTCGTCTGCTCACTTTCAGCATATGTTTCATAATTTTCCACTAAAGTGCACGCTGGTGAATAAGCAGGTTAAGTCACCCACTGTAAGATAGATATCTGATACAAATTCTTTTGCACTGAAACTGCTGGTTGACAATATTCTACATGGTGTTCAGCATCTTTACATCTGACTACAGTAAGTATTCATTGTTCTTTCAGAGAGTTGTGTTCTGATCAGAGTTGGAAAAGCCTCTGAGGCAGTATTTAACATGGAGTATCTACTCTTTTATTTTTGGACTAATATCTCTGCATTAATGTGCATGTTGCATTTTACTGCTGTCGACCTTAACCTCTGAGATGTTGTGGAACAGAAGTACAAAGTTGCATAAAATGGAAATACTCAAATAAAGTACAAATACCTTGTACGTGTACTTAGTTACAGTTTTCTTGCATGTGATCATAACTCCAGCGCGGTGAAATGTCACTGATCCTGGATTGTTTCTCTGTAATATCCACTGCAGGGCCAAAGGTGTGCGGACAAAGATGTTCTGTTGTTTCATGGCTCAGGCGAGGCCCCTTAGTCAAATAATACAATGGACAATAGTGAGCTTCCAACTTCGTGGCAACAGTTTGTGTTTGACTCTTTCCTGTTTCAACATGACAGCAGCTCCCTACACAAAACCAGCTCCATGCAGAAACGGTTTAATTGTCCCAGTTTGGTGTGGGGGGACATGACTGGGTACACACACAGAGTCCTGCCTGGTTTCAACCTCATCCAACACCTTTGGGACGATGGAGGAATGTAACTAAGTACATTTACTCATGCACTGGACTTAGAGGGTAACCTGGAATGTAATTTGCCATGTCTTTGTGTCTGAGTGACTGATAGGAACAACATTTTTTAAAACTGGTCCAGCCAGAGTGACAGGGCTGCAGCTGACAGCGGTAGAACAGGCTGCAGTGTAACCACCCAGGGCAGTTATGCACCATCAATTTGCATCATCTAAAAGTGCTTCTTTTTGCCACTGACAGGTTCAGATTGTTCTTATATTCAGTTCAGTCCAATAGAACTTTATTTATCCTGAAGGAAGTTATTGTGCTTCAAATTACAGTAGCACTAAGTTCAGTAACCATAATTTAACGTTCACAACGAGTAACAACCAGTAGGTCAGGGTCACTCACTGGGCCCAGTTTTGGAAACAATAGAGTAATAAATATCTGGCAAAATATACAAATATACAAGACTAGTCCATAGCCATTGGTATCTTTGTCACCTTCTACCTATGCCAGTCCTCAATGCCTATGTGCAGTTTCACATAGATTGACCACGTCAGTGAGTAGAAAAACGTGGGACAGACAGAATGACTGACTGACAGAATGACACACTGACAGTTTCCGTGATTATGTACAGCATACCATACCATGACTTAGTCATACCAAACATTAGAAAACAACACCAACATTGGTCCACAGGGGGAGCCACAGCGATCGGGCGCATTTTAGCCATTTTGAAGCATTTTTCTGTTGTTATAGCGCCACCCAGTTGCCAATTAGAGTTAAATTTCTCCAGTCACCTTGAGGCGTCCTGTTCTACATATCTACCAAGTTTAGTAAAAATCCATATGGCGGTTAGGCCTAGATAAGAAATGAGCTCTCTAGCGCCCCCATTTTGTTTGATGGGGTCAATAATGGAGGGGTCCCCTCAGATTATGTGTGGTCATATGCCTACAAAGTTGCGTGGTGATGGGTGAAACCCTTGAGATGTTATACACCTTTATGTGATGAGCCACGCCCTCCGCAATATTCATTGCCTTATAGAAGCTCAGTTTTAGTAAGTTTTCCAACTTTTGCCAAGAGGGAACTTTAGATATTGGTCCCTAGATTATGTTCACCCAGTTTCATGCAGATCGCTCAAACTTCCTAGGAAGAGATCCATTTGAAGTGTTTTTCAAAAAATTCAAAATGGCGGAAAATCTATATAAGCGGAAGTTATGGGTTCTTGAGGCAAATGTGTTCCTCATGAGGAGAGGCATCTCTGTGCAAAGTTTCATGTCTCTACCACATACGGGGCATGAGATATGCCCATTCAAAGTTTGACATTTCAGTGGGTTGCTATAGCGCCCCCCTTTGGCCAATTGATGTAATATTGCTTCATTGGCATCCTCCCATGACCCTCTACCACTGTGCCAAATTTCACAGGGATTGACCAAGTCAGTGAGGAGAAAAACATGGAACACACACACAGAGTTTTCCTCATTATATAGTAAGATATGAAGTGCGTATTAAAGGAGCAAAAGCAAACCTAGTGCCTAATAGAGTGACAGTGGGAGTTAGATAAGTACAAAATGGTGTAAAAAGCAGACTGTACCTGATAATCAATGTTATATTGAATATGATGTGACAATGAGAAGTACTATTGCACATGATTGAGAAATGATATTTCACTACATTGACAAGTGATCATGATATTGAAAAGTAATATTACTATTAAATTTGTATTACTATATTAAATGAAACAGAACATACAAAACCACATTCTCATACTGCCACCATGAAGTGTACTACACTGTGCTACAGGAAAACTATTTAAAAAGTATATAAATAAGGTAAAAAAGTTAATAAAAGACATTAGATGGCGACGAAGAGCAACTCTTGCAGGCTGCTGCCTGAGACAGTGTCAGATCCCTACAAAGATAAACGGCTTTGTTAAAAGTAGAATCATTTTTTTATTCACCAAACAGTCCAAGAATTATCACCAAAGCCACCAGACTCCATTTAAATGAACAGTCACTGGATGAGTTAAGGGTTTATTTCAACCAAACCAGAGCTGGTGATCGTTGGAAGAGTGGAAGGACCAAACCAAGATGGTTTTTGTTAGTTTAATTTTGTTTCTGTCAACTTTGACTTAAGTGTGTTTTATGATGATAAAATTACGGTTTATTTTAATGGACTCTGGTGGGTTTGGTGATGGTGATTTCAGGGCTGTTTCTGGTTTAAATAAAAAGGATCTTTCTCTTTAACAAAAAGCTCAATCTGAGTAACACTGAGCCTGTCAGTGACAAGGACAAACACTTTAAGTGGATGTAAATTGACGGTGAATAATTGCCCATTGCAGCCTGTTTTACATCTTCAAAAACTCTTGTTGCCATTTGTCAATTGGACACAAAAACAACGGAAGACAGAGTCAAGATCAAAAAATACCAAAGTTAACTCTTTAAGTACAGACTGAAGGGACTTTTATAGGCTTTTAACTCTGCATTCTCTCGGCTCAGGGCTGTCCTTAGTCACACATTATTAACCCAGGGTTAACCTCAGCCCAGGGCTATACACGATTCATCCTGCACTTCCACCAGCTCTGAGTTCAACACCTAACTTATGTTACCGTTCTACAGTTGTATTGTTGACTCACTGGCAACTTTTAGCCCTGGGTTAAGTCCATTTTTATGCAATAACCCTGCAAACTCAGGGTTAAACCTGCTTCAAAGCAGGGCCAGCAAGCCTTACGCTAAAGTCGGGGTTAGCCCACTTGGATTGTGTCAGGACTGTACCACTTTCTTAGGACCAGACTAACAGCTCTTTAGAATCCCTTGAGCCAAATTTGAAATAAAAGGTGACACTGATTATTCAAATTTTAACTTAAACAAGTTCCTTTGTCCTTTTTTCTGTTTGTTCAGTCATCAGTTTAAAGACTCACTGTATTATCCTTTGTGTTGACATTATGCAATTTCTGAGCTACCGGACACCTGCTGAAAATCAACACAGATCACTCTCTGGGTGAAGTCAGGCTGCTGAGCACTATACATTATGATTCTTGTTTTCGTTTTAGGCCAGAAGGTTCGGCCAAACAGATCCTCACATATTGAATCATGTTACAGAGTTAGAGAAACACTAATTGTGATGCTGTGGTGAGAAAGGGTAACAGAGGGTGAAAAATGACTGCTGGGCCGTGTTTAAATATTTGCTATGGGAGGAGCTGCTTGAGCGACCCGAGCTCCAGATTCCTCAAACATCATATGTTGCTTGAAAGGGAGGGAAAGGCCAGAAATTTAGAGGGTTATGAGTCAAAATCCGCCCAAACAAAACACTTTGATCAGACACCAAAAATTAGTCTTTTTAAAAATGTTTTCCGCATTTTTACCAACAGAATTTTCTGTAAATATCAACTCCAGAAATGAAGGTCCAAAGGCAGTGTAATTATCTAACTACATATCCAGGGGAATTTAAATACAGCATCGTGGAATCAGCCTATTAAATATCCATAATAAAATATAAACACCCTCCATTTTCCTTAAAAAGAAAAACTTTCCTCACTGGTCGATTCACTTGTAATAATTCATAATTTCTCAGTAAAGCATTTTACATGCAAAACCACCACATGTGCTTATTTAATGTGGATTTAAATAATGTCTGAAGAACCATGAGTCTCAGTCATGTGATCTGACCACGTGTGAAATCCTGTTTTTCAAGCGACTCAGTCACATGAACCTTCTTTGTGCTACTTTCTTCATTAGTGCTGTAAATGTTCCCAGTAGCTGCAGCTCTGGTCTGAGTCTCCTCCTGTGTGGACTGAAGCTGGAGGACACGGTGCACGATGGAGGCAGTGACAGGAAAACAAGCAGAGGTGGCAGAAGGGAGCAGGTCATTTTTTTTTATTAAGATATAAAATGTCAGTAATGTTCAAGTATTAAAGTCTCAAGGGCTCATGTTGTATCATGACAGTTATTCGTGGATTTAAGCAGCTTCACTTGTTCACTGCATTTAAAGGGCACAAAGAAACACGACAGACTCCAGATCACAGAGAAAACAAAGAGGTGCACCAAATGTCTGAACTCTTTTGTCCCCAGATTGTGCATCCAGCAGTCACCAGAAGAAAATGTCAGCGTACATTTCTATAAACCAGGATTTGCACATTTCATACATATTATCAACATTTCTAAAGTAACGTATTTATGTGCTGACAATGTCATCGGTTTAAGGGACCAAATGTGGCCATTTTTTAGCAACCTGTTGCTGGGGATCACTGGGGATAATGACACAAAAGTGGTTGTTTTATGCAAGACATCGTTGCATTTCTTACCTTGCTAGTACCACTTCCAAAACAGCTGCTTAACTGAGGAATTGCTGTGTTTCCTGCCGGGAAAGTATCATGAAATACAGTTGTTTTTTTTACCAAGGACACTGTTGTGTTTCAAGAAATTGACACCAAAGATGGTTCTTTTTAACAAGACATTGCTGCGTTTTCTGCCTTCATAGTGACATGAAAAATTGCTGCTTTTACAGAGACATCATTGCATTTCCTGCTCGGAAAATTACATGAAAATATATATCTCTGCATTTCTTGCCTTGGTAGCGACATGAAAAACAGTTGCCGTTATCGAGACATCGCTGCGTTTCCTTCCGGGGTAGTGACACTAAAAATGGTTGTTTTTTACCAAGACATCACTGAATTGACACAATGACAAAAAAAGAAAAAAAATCTGACTACTGGGTTGAAAATCAGTCATATCAGCAGCACAACATCTACAGGTACCTGTGCACATTTTTACGCATAAATGCATAAATTAGTGCAAACCACAAATAAAACAACAACAAAAAAAGTCTCATTCTCTGAGTTCCAGTTTGCCGTCTCGGACTCTCCACCTCCAGCGCTGACACCTGTCGGGAGCAGGAACGCAGCGCAGCCACAGACAGGACTCTTTGATCTCTTGCTCAAAGGACACAATCTTCCTGTCCAGCGTCTCCAAGGTGAAGGCTTTCCCTGAGATCTGTTAATGACAGGTGAGATCCATAATTTTGATACTTAACGTAAATTCTTTTCAAACTACTTCTGTACTTTTACTTAATTTACGTCACCTCTTACCTGATCACTGATTCCTATGGCAACATGGCCCACTTTGACCTGCCGCCGCTCACGGATCCTCAGACACTCGCCTTGGACGTTCTCGATCCAGATGTCAACACCTGGAGTGTCACAGCAGTCAATAACAGTAAAAAACAAAAGTCGAACGACATGTAACTGAGTGATACGTCCTGCCGTCTTACCTTCGAAGCAGCACGAGGACGGCTGACTGGCTGAGGCCAACCACTCCAAGTGTCCGTCTGTCCGACTGTTGCAGGAGGAAAAGACTCCAGAGCTCAGATCATCAGACGAATGATCAGAGTCCTTAAAAATGGAGAGAACGTTTTCAGAACGTTTTAATTCCACATGTGCGGCACACGTACACCTGCGACTTCACAACACACACCTTCTCTGAGGCGTCTATCTGTGATGTGTCTGAGCAGCTGAAACAGGATGGAGGGTCGTCTCGAGGTTCAGGGGACGGGGTCTGGATTGTGGTGCCCAAAGGTACGTCTAGTGAGAGAAAACATATCAGCAGTTTAGTGCTGAACAACAAACTTTTCTTCCCACTGAAGGATGATATCAATGTTTTTTACATGTTTCAGTGCATTTACTTAAAATCTGGTACTTTCCAAATCAATCCATCACTTTATTAGACTTGTGCCTAAATAACCAGGCTCATCAGGTGCTCTGTGAAAAGGTGAAACCTCGTGGGGCGTCTGACTCAGTAACTCAGGATGTGTCTTTGCAAGGTGACCTTTTTGGAAACTTTCTTTGTTTCCAGAGATCAATACGTGGAACTGAAGTTGAATGATTACAGGTCGTCAAATATGGACGTTCTGTCACGGCCCTCAGTGTTGCTGTCAACACCAAACACATCCCTTATCGTCTTTATGAGCTGCATTGGGCTTTGAGCTAATTCACTCCAATGTAAACGTATCCATGGCGATATTTGTCAGCTGAAGAAGCACAAAGATGGATGGGTCACACGCTGACATCATTCACATATTTATTTTAACTAAAAACATGTTCTAATCTTGACCAAGTAGGCAGCAGTAGCTCAGTCCATAGAGACCTGGCTTGGGAACCAAAGGGTCACCAGCTCAAGTCCCAGTATGGACCACTGTGGAGTTGGCAAGGCACCAAACCCCCAACTGCTCAGGGTGCCTGTCCAAGGCAGCCCCCTCACATCTCTCCATTTAAAGCATGTATAGGTCCTGTTTGTGCATGTGTGTGTATATGTGACAACAGAGTGAAATAACTCGGGTATCAATAAAGTACATCTGTTTCTTCTTCTTCCTAAAGTTCTGTTGCCTGAACCTGACTGCAACCCTTTCACAACATTAACCTCATGTCACACTGTGTTTCAGCTGTGCATCATCTTGATACTTTTGCGTGGCTGTGGTGGAGCGGGTCATCCATCAATCAGAAGATCAGTGGTTCAAACCCCGGCTCCTCCACTTTGCATGTCGAAGTATCCTTGGGCAAGATACTGAATGCTCCCGATGGCTGTTCCATCAGTGTATGAATGTAAGTGAATGTGACCCTGTGAAAGCACACTGAGTGGTCAGAAGACTAGAAAGGTGCTATACAAGTGCAGTCCATTTACCATGATCCGCTAAGGCATGCCCTGTGTTCCCCTTTAAGACACACTGGAAAAAACCCTGTGTTACTTTAAATATGCACCAGAGAGGAAAAGCTCTGAAATCACACTGAGATGCAGCGTCCTGATAAAATGTAGCTGCATCAGATGAAATGAGGGATTCTGGACATGTATAAACAAACTGTTAGAGAGGAGTGTATCTGCTGAGCTGTCCTCATGACGCAGAGTTTTTCTGACTCACCGTCTCGGAGGTATTCCAGCTCCGGCTCTGATCCCCATGAATTGTCATTTGTCTGTTGGCCTTTTTGCAGCAAAGGGAAAATGCCTCTGAGAGCACGGAGATACTCTGTGGACATGGAGGACTCCCACTCCCCCTCCTCCTCCTCCTCCTCCCCCTCCCCCTCTTCATCTCCCTCCTCTTCCCAGTCCCCCTCATAGTCCCTGTCACTTTTCGGCCACTTCTCCTGAACATGTTCCTCCTCGGCCATGTATATATCCACCTCTGAATCAGAGCAGGTGTCCCAGTCTTTTCCATCTGCAGCGTAATCGTCCTGCAGAGACTTTGGCTGGGACTCCCATTCCCTGGTTAAAAAATCTGTCTCCACGTCAGAGTTTTGGTCTGAGTCACCATCTTTCCAGTCACTGGTGTCCTCGTCCACTGCTGTTGTCCTCCAGGGGCTCACCCAGTACATCGTGGCTGATGGTTTGGTTGGTTTGATCCCAGGTGACAGAGAGCAGGGCGTGTCTTCATTCTGGCTCTCACTGTGATGCAGCTTCTCACAGGCACTTTTGATGGACCAGGGACTCAGACCGCCAACTGTGGAACAAATGTAGAGTCCTCAGTGGTGCAGTAAATACAACAACAACAACAACAGTAAGGTGCTTGAAATTGGAGGTTTTTGGTTAACACACTGTTTTATTAGTTCAAAAACAGACAATTCTTGGTTTCTATTGACAATGACATCCGAAAAACTAGGTTTGGAGTACCTCAAGGCTCAATCCTGGGTCCTGTTTTTTTTCCTATAGTTGCTCCCTCTTGGGGTTATTATTCACTGCCATGGCATCTTGTTTAGTGTTCATACTGATGACTTGCAGCTATACCTTCAGTTCCAGCCCACGACTTATGATTTATCAGTGTCATTTCTGTTTGTCATTGATACTGTTCTGTTCTGTTCCGTTCCCAGGGGGTCTTTGCTGCTGCTCTCCCTGCCTTAGACTTTCCATGTAGGCGCATGGAAGGGCAGGGAGGTGTGCTACCTCAGCCTCAGGCTTTCCATGTAAGGGCTTTCTGCCTAGGCCTGAGGAAAAGCAGAGGGGCTCCAGAAGAGAGCCATACTGCCAAATATAATACTGCACATGGAAATAAAGTTTTCTTTGACTGAAGTGGTCCTGACTGAATTAATATTTTGGCAATTTGGTTCCCCTACAGTTTCAGAGCGGTAGACCACTGTTGTATATATATTCGCTTGCAAGACTGCAAACTGTTTATATGACCCTGACGTAAGCTGTAGTGATATGTCTCATGGCTAACAGGCAAAAGTCTACAACCTGACAGCAGAGTGTATATCCCTGCCAATGTTATTTATGAAAGATTGTGACATGAGCTGTAACCTTATCTGTGTCATCCCCGTCTCACTGAGTCTCATGGACAGCCTTACAGGTTCATCTGTGGACAAGCTGAAGCTGATTTGGAGCCAGGAAATCGAACATCAGAAGAAGAAGAGCCATGTCGGCTGACATGACAAGATTTTGCACAAATATGTGTCGGCACAGTTTTATTTATTGTGACATTGGAGATGAACACACACAAAATAAATGACAGAAAGTTTGCTAAGCTTCTGAATGTGACTTTTGGCATCCAGAAAAACCCAGAACTCAGTGAGACAGGGATGACACAAATGAGGGGACAGCATATGTCACAATCTCTCATGAATAACATCGACAGGGATGTACACTGTGTGATTGTCGTATTTCTTTAGTTAGTCGTGAGACAGATCACTGCAGCTCATATCAGGACAGTAATGTTACAAACACTTTGTAACCCTGCATTCATCCGTTTGTTAGTTTACTTTTGTCCGGCCTACTCGGTCACTCTCTCTTTTTCTCTTATTTGTTTCCTCTGTGAATCCTTTCCTTTTTGGGCTGATCACTACTGCCATGATGTTCGTAATGAGAAAACCGAGCTAGCTTCATAGTATCAAAAGACAACATCAGAATCATGCATGGATGAAGCAAAAAAAACAGCCAAACTAGCTAGTGCCATAAATTGTTACGCTTTGGTGATCCACTTTGTTTATCAAAGGGACATAGTGCACGAACAGCCGTTTGGGGTGCTGAGTGGGAAGGATAGAGTCACTATTCTCCCTGTTACAAGTCAGTGTAGTATCAAGATAGAACAGAACAGAACAGAATAGAACAGAATAGAATAGAAAGAACGTTATTTATCCCAAAGGGAAATTCAGCAATTGATTGATTTAGCAGATGATAATAAAGCTGTTATTTTAATTTAAAAAGTTGCATAAAGTTGCTTTAAAGATACTAAAACTTCCATACACACTTTAATTTTGTCACGTTGTAATTAGTACAATGCACTTTTTACCTGCCTTAATTGAAAAGCCTAAAGGCCGTAACACAAGCCAACAGTTGTCGGGCTGTTGGTGAGAGTCTAAGGCCCTTGTTGATGCTAGTCAGCTTTTTTCTGCCTATTCAGTTGGCAAAGTAAAGCCTGATTCACTATGATTGGCAGTTTGACTCAGCACACGGAAACAGAAACAGAAGTGAGGAAAGTAAACAAACAGCTACAGTCACGAAGGAGTGAGACCGAAACAAAGTTGTTAGATAAGGTCAGATTATTTTTCTTTATCCACTGAGCTCTTTAGCAGAAATGTTTCCTGATGGTTTGTGTCATTGTTCTTTCACGCACAGTAAATATACTGTTCTTTCAACATTGCATTGTATTGTTAATGTGCTAACTGGCTAACTAGCGTCAAGATGAACTTCCACTTTTTGAATGATGATTACAGATGACCACTGTCTGCTGGTATGGAAGGGTATGTCTTCTCACACAGGAACATAACGTATGTACTTGTTGGTGTGTTCAAGTGCATTTTTTGGTTAAGAAGTTTGGTGTGTCTGGGCCTGGAGACTGAGAGGCTTTTAACTGGGACAAAGAGATCACATTACTTTTGTTTTAGCCTCTCTAGATTAGCTGCCTCTTCATTTTAGAAATGATTATTAGATATTTTACTGCTAACATTTAAAGCATTGCACCTTGCTACATCACTGAACGGTTCTCCGCGTGACCTTTGCTGAGTGTTTGTCAAATCACTTCTCAGATCATACTTTTACTGCAGAGCTAACCCTGATATTCAGCTTTGTTTTATTGAGTTATTTTAACCACTTTGTTTAAGGCCTGTCTTATCTTCTTGATTTTATTTTTGCCATAGTCTGTGCTCATTACACTGTTGTAGTTTCCTGTTCTTGTTGTATGTTGTTAAATTCTTTGTAATTTTTTGTTTTCTGTGTAAAGTACTTCTTAATTTTGTTGCAGTATTTCTTTATATCATTTCTTTTTTATGTTTTAAAGCACTTAACCTTTGTTTAGAACGTGCTGTAATATGCTTTTGATTAACATCATTATTATAAACAATAAAGATGATTGTGAAACATGAAGCACATCGACCTGCTCTGAGGGCTTTGGTGGTTTTCCTCCGGAGCTCCTTTGCCGACGCTCGTCTGTCAGGGTCCTTCTGGAGTCCAGCCCTGAACACTTTGGCTGTGAAGTTGTTGCAGTTGGACGGCACCTCCCACAGAGGCGGAGGCTCGTTGACAATCTGACAAACACATGACAGGAAACGTGAAAAAACCTCTTTACACGTCAGGGTGGAAACGTCACACTTTCCAATAAAGACAAAGAAGACTGTCACCTGGAGACACAGTGGATGGGAGTAGTAGCGTATCCATGGGTGGCATCCATTGAGCATGTGCAGTAGCATGCAACAGCTGCTCCACACGTCCGCCTTGGCACATAGTCGATCCCCCTGTGCCACCTCGGGGGCCATGTGGGTCTCTGTGCCGGGGAAGGCAGCTCCTACATCAGCACACGGTGAATTCATTTTAATCTTTCTGTCTTTTACCTGCTCATTACCTTGTCTTAATAAACATGCTCCTGTTGTTTCTATATTTTAACTTGGCTTACACTTTTCTGGGGCTGAAGACACACAGTAATATATGTATTTTTTTCTGTCTGTTCATGTTGAACTGTCTCTTACAAGCTCCTGATCTTGACCCCTTTAAGTTTTACCATGTTTTTTGAGTCAGTAGAAGCTGGTTTGAGTAAGACCATCAGCCTGAGATGTAAATGCTCAATGTGCCACCAACGTAAATGTTCTGTATATTACTCTGGAGAAAGATTTCCAGCCTCGTTTCCAGGTCGTCAAATATCATAGCTCTGGGTTGCTTGTTGGCTCAAACTATGAACCCAAAGCATCTGACGACCGGGCAATGAATGCATTGTACGTTTCTGCAAACCACAGATACATGTGTACATCATTATGTAGCAGATTTGTTGAAAGTTCGCTTTGTTACTGTGTGGTTTGGTTTAGACACAAAATACTTGGTATGGTTAGGGTTAAATATCCCGTTTTGGGGACACAATCCAGCTGGAAACACGGCGATGTCTTGATGAAAGACACCCACTTGTTTTTGGCATTTTTCCTGCAGGAAATGCAGCGTTATCTGGGCAAGAAGAATCTGCTTTTGGTGGCACAGTCCTAGCAGGAAATGTAGCCATGTCAGTGACAAACAACCGCTTTTTGTGGCGCTATGCCAACAGAAATGCAGTAATGTCTCGGTAAAAAACAACCACTTTTCAAGGTACAATCTGGGCAGGAAATGCAGCTATGTTTTGGCTTGTTGTGGCACTTTCCCTGCAGGATATGCAGCGCTGTCTTGGCAAATAAAGAAACTACTTTTTGTGGCACAATCTTAGCAGGAAACTCAGAGATGTCTTGGTAAAAAACACCCCTTTTCGTACCACTATCCCTGCTGGAAAAAAAGTGACAGACCACTAAAAAACACTCACATTTGGTGGCTAAAAAGCTGCTGGAAAAACAACGGGTTTTGTTGTTTCTTTGTCTCGAACCATGGTGTGCAGTTTGGCAGATGTCTTGCCTAGGTGAAACACCATCCACCAGAAACGTACAATGCCAACATTTTCTCATGGCGACTGAGCTGGGTATTTGACAACTGGAAAATGAAACTCATCAATTACCTATCTTTCTCCATAGCTCCATACAGAACCTAATTTGGGAAATTACTATAAGTGAGTTTATGTAGCGTCTGAAAGAAAAAAATAACATAACTTTAACAAAAAATATAAGATTAAGAATTCATATATAAAATAATTCAATAAAAACTTTAACTAATGAACAAAACCCACAATTACTCAATTCAATAGAATTAGGTTTTGCTGCTACAGCCTCACGCGGTCTGGTGTGACCTGTTGCTTCATGTTGGCCAAAGCCTAGACAATTTAAGATGGATATTGCTGCATAACTAATAATATTATAGATCGTAAATGCAGGAGTTATTTCCTGTGCTCTGTCAGTGTGTTCATCTTTATATTTCTGTTATTGTCATGGACCTGCTAAAGATAGACACACAGAGAGGAAATAAAATAGTAAGTCAGACTGACCATCAGGGGAAAGATCCAAATTGCAAATATAAAACTTTTTTATTTTCAAGGATCAATATCCTCTTGATTCACAACCAGTAGGATCAATTTTAAATTTATAAAAGGCGAAAGTATCTTTTTTGCATTTATTTAAAGTTAACTTGTGTAACAAAATCCAATAATGTGATTAACAAATATTCATATTTAATGTAAATGTTGCTGCAGTTTCTTGCTGACTGTTCAGACCTCACTCACCCCTGAACGCTCTGGTGCTCCATCCGTTGTCATCTAATGTCTCTGAGAGACCAAAGTCACAGAGGAATGTGTCTCTGCAGTCTGCAGACAGCAGCACATTGTCAACTGGAATAAAATCAACACATAGGATTCAGTGGGACAGCTTGTTTTCATTTGGTGCTCATTATGAAACAGTTGAGTGAGAAATCAGAAGGCTGTCAGGCTGACGGGTTCACGGGGGACCACAGCCGTCTGAAGGAACATCTCCAAAAGTAAAGCACATTTTTTCCACCTCTGCATGAAGACGTGATTCGATGAGACTGCTTAATTTAATGTTTGTTGGCTGAGTGAACACAGAGGGCGACGGAGGGGCCTAATTTGAGCGAGCCCCTTCGTCTCCAATCCTCTCAGTGGGGATTACTGGGGGTTTAGGGTCGAGGTGTCAGTTTAGGATTAGGCACCAACACTGGAGATGCGATCTGACAGTAGAACCAGCAGCTAGAGGCTTTACTGGGCTCCATCCCTCTCTGTAAGCACTGCTGATTATATCAGATCTACTACTGTGGGGCCTGACCACAAACTGAAGCTGAATCCAAACATATGCATATGCATCAACAGAAATATGAATATGTATTAAAATCTGCTTTAACAAAGTGATTTTACACTAGAAACACATCAGCATGCCCTCAGATGTAGTGAGAAATGAATTGATATAAAGTAATCTACAGATTGATCATCCCCTGACAAAAGACAGAGGAAGTGCTCAGATTGCTAAAAGTAAAAGTAGCAATACACCAAGTTAAAGGTACATTACAAGTAACAGCCCGGTATTTAAAAGTACAGAAGTATTATCAACAGTATGTACTTCAGTAAAAGTAAACTCAGACAAGACAGAGGTAATAACCTTTGGCCCTGATCACCCAGTGAGGGCATTACAACCCTTTATTGGTTCTCTGGGAACTAATATAAAATCTACAGCAAGAAATGTTGGCATCACTATTTATTCTCAGTTGAACTTTGAACCACACGTCAATCATCTCATCACAAATCTCCCCAGCTCTCGCCTCCCTCCACTGGTCCCCAGTTAACTTCAGAATTAATTTTAAGATTCTTCTAATAACTTTTAAAGCTCAGCATGGTTTAGCCCTTGTTATACAGCTGAGCTTCTGACTACCTGTGCTCTGAGTCATGACCTGAGATCCTCCAGTCTACCCTCACTAGTCGTCCCCAGGTGCAGGCTATTAACTAAAGGTGATCAAGCTTTTAGCATCGAGGCCCCGAGGCTCTGGAGTTCTCTGCCTGAGGAGATCAGGCTGACACGTTACCTGTTTTTAAATTATTGCTTAAAACACATTTCTAGGAAAACTTTTTATTTTAATGCTGATTTATACTTTTGTGACTTTTTTGTTTTATTCCCTTTTGCTCTATTTTTTGTCTCTGTACACACAATTTTTCTTGGCTGGCATTATCGTTTTTAAAGATCTCTTTGATCATCAAGTAGTCAAGTAAAGATCTCCTCATTATACCTGGAATAAGCTCCAAATCAGTTTATAATGCTTTCAGTCACTATGGTCCTACTCTCTGGAATTCATTCAAAACTCTGCAGCTCAGCTATTAACCCCAACCAAGAGGAGAGAGCACATCAGACACCAGCTCTCTGATGTCAGTGTGGTGTGTGAATGAATGGGATTTTCCAATAAAAACAATGTGTAGACTCATTCAAAAGTAACCCCTCTCACTCATCACTTACGACCGACTAGAATATGTGGCAGTGCATTAATCTGCAGAGATTCTCGCCTCTGTTTGTATTTCAGATTCTTATTATTTTGCTTTGTTCTGGATGTAACCTTTGGGCACTAGTGTGTAGCGCCCAGCCACAGCGTGCAGCGTGTGAGGGCGGGACTCTTAAGAGGAAGCTATGAAAATGGTGGACAGAGCGCCCAACATGTAACAGTGTAGTTACAGCTGGTTGAGCTAGAGCTGATTTAAAATGGTGTTTGTAATTTTGGTGAATTAAATCTGCAACACAGGATCAGATGTTATGAACTGATGATCACGTTGTGTTTGTAAAATCTTAAAATGTAACTATAGCTGTCAAACAAATCTGGTGGAGCACAAAGTACAACATGTACAAGTATAAAGTAGCATAAAGTGAAAATACTCAAGTACAAGTACCTCAAAATTGTACTTGAGTAAATGTACTTAGTTACAGTCACTGAGCGTGACTCATCTGACCTGAGGTGTCTAAACTCCTCTAATCTGGTGCTCAAAACAGGCAGAAATAAATACCCAGAACTCTCATGTGGTGTGAAACAAGAACACACCTTTGACATCCAGGTGAAGGACCTTCCTGTGGTGCAGGTGCTCCAGCGCCCCCAGTGTCTGATGAAGGTAGTGCAGGGCCAAATCCTCAGGTAAACAGTTTATCTCTTTCAGAAGCTGAGCCAGACATCCTGCAAGAGGAGCGGATGAATCTTTATTTTCAACACTGCAGTGTGTTAGTGGTGAATTATGCTGCAGCACACAGACAGTGTATCTGTGTTATTTACTGAAGAAAGTTTACCTGGCTTCAGGTCCATGAAGAGCACGATGTTGAGGCCCTCCCTGATGGCCCCAAAGAGCTCCACCACACGAGGAGAGTTGAGAGCGCTCCACGTGCTCACCTCCTCGCTGCTGAAGTGACTCAGTGGAATCTGAGATCAGAGGACAACAATGTGCTGAACAACACTTCACTCACTTTAAACTCAATCATCAGCTCAGCGCTGGGGAGCGGGAGACTTTGGGTGGTGCATATCTGGATTCAAATGACTCACTCTTTCTTGGCTTACCCTCTTGGCAGCACACTGGAAACCAGTCCTTTTGTCCTGGACACAGAACACATCGCCATACGAGCCATTCTGTATGTGGTGCAGGACGCAGTACTCCTCTCCCTCCCTGTACTGACAGCTGTCAGGCTGAAGTTGCTTTAGGACACAAAAGTCAGAGTCAGAGTAAATAACAAACAGCCTGAGGAAGTAAAGTCTGTTGCACTTTGGCCACGCCCCAATCAGTGATGTCACTGCAGCTGGTTCCTGTCTGTGGTCAAAGATCAAATACCTGCTGTAACTAAGAAACTAAGCACAATACTCAAGTACAATGTGGAGGTACTTCTGCTTGAATTAAACTGCTGTAATTAGGGACGCATGATAAGGATTTCCTTCCAATATCTGATATGCCGATATTTAACAACTCATTTGGACGATACATTGATACATCCACTTTTTCTTCCACCTAACTTCAGTGATCATCAAGTCTCTTCTGTGGTGGAATTAACATCATATTATACATGCATACTCTTATGGTGACGGCCCACCAGCAGATGGAGACGTGAAATACAACACTTAACAATATTTGTGATATTCATTCATTGCGCTAAAGAAGAAAAAGCTCGCTGACAGTTCATGTTAAAGCTGATATCGGCTGCTACCCACAATGTGCCGGTGTTATCGTGCACCCCTAGCTCTAATATCTAATTCTACACATCAACTGATCAAATGATGATGTGAAATTTGAAAGAGGTTGTTCATGGTGACAAACACACAAATAATCATCACCTGAGTCTTAAAACTATGAAGCATTTGAGCTCTTTGTTTTAAGTTTTACGACCCACAACTTCACTGTTTTGGTTCAGTGTCACTGCTCCTATCAGCTCTGGTTCCAGCTGCACTCTTCAGCTCAAAATAAAAGGTGATAAACCCTCAGTGCTCTGCCTGCTCAGCAGCAGACAGCAGACAGACTCAGTCAGAGACAGGCTGGTGAACATGGTGGAGCATTTAGCAGATAAAGAGACAGATATTTCCCTCAGGAGTTGGTGGAGACCAAAAACAGAGCTAAAAGAGAGAGAATATTTGACCTGTATCTGACAGAAATATAACTCCATATGTAACCTGAGAAAATAAAATGTTTATATGGGACTAAATTGTTTCCCCAATGATGCTGTGCTAACAAATATAATCGCTGGCTGACTTATCTTTACAGGTAACATTTTTCTGAGTGAATGAAGCCCTATGCTAATCTGCCACACTGTAGTAAACGTGAGGTGGTTAGGGTGGAGCAGCCCGGGTCCATATCCACACTAGATACAACTCAATTTCTGGACTACATGTTGGTACTGTACGTTGCTGCAAACCACAGATATGTTGTACATTTTATACGTGGTGGATGTGTTGAAACTTAATGTTTGTGGTTTGTGGTTATGTTTAGACCAGGGGTGGGCAACCTGTGGCTCCAGAGCAACATGTGGCTCTTATGCCCCTCTCCAATTATGCTTTTTTCTTAACATTTCAATTAATTTTAATTTTAATTTCAATGTGTAGGTCTAAAGATATTCTTACATTCTCCAAGTGTAAAAATGTGAAGCCTACATACCGAATAGAAAAAACATTTTCTCATTTCAACAACTAAAATGTGCATCATACATCTATGGCCTGGCGCCTTTTTCTTGAATCTTTGCCTGACCTCGATAACAGTGGCTTGTCTTGAGTCTCCCTCTCTGGTTAGCTATGGATGGCCAATCTGGAAATCCTTCCGGCGGTGCCCCCAGGGAGTCGCCATGTTGTTTACAAATACTTCGGGTAGAAAACCAGCAGAGTTTAGCTATATATCACATTTTTCACGTCACTATATCACCATGTAGACTAATCTGATGTTTGTTAAGTCTATAAACACAATGATTGAACAAACGTTACTATTTCTGTGTGTTTTGTAATTAACATGGTTATCGTAGATTAGCTGGCCTAACCGTTAGCTGTTAACGTTAGCCGTTAGCGGTCTGTAATAACCATAGACTGTATAACAATAAGGTAATAACTCAATAAACGGTCCGTGAATAAAATATTTTTTCCAGGGGATATCTTAGTTACAACATGATTGAGCTAGCAAAGCAGTTTTGTGTTGCTATGGAAAATAGCATGCTATGGGAAATCACGATGTCTAGAAAGCATCTGTGGCTGCAGCTGACAGGGACAGTTAGCAAAGCTAACATCAGGACGTCATCTGTTAAAAGCCTCCTGTTGTCGGATACGACATGAAACTACTCCAGTTAGCTCAATCATGTTGTAACTAAGACATCCGCTGGAAAGAAAAAAATTTTTTTATGATGAGACGGCGTTTTGGGTGGAGCGGTCGCTATGGACGCGGAGCTTGCTGTTTCTGTAGGTACACATTTCCTGGGAACACCTGCATGTCTCAGCCACGCCCCCCTCATTCAAACTCACCCCCCCCCCCCCCCCCCCCGGTGTCGTCTTTCACACAGGGCTGCCGACAGATTCTACAATGTAAATTGCAGAATCTGTCTTGAGAGATTAATGGATGTCAAATCCAAAAAAGTAAAAGTCTTGGGATAAAATAGAGAATTTAATAGTGCATGGGCAGATTTGTTTGCGTTGCCACTTCTGCAGAGTTACCAAATAATCATAACTAGTGTCCTGCACAGTCGCCACCTTGTGGTAAAACATAATGAATGCTATAAGTATGAGCTAACTTAGGGCCATTTCAAAGTCGATCCACGCAACGCGAGCACACACTTCCTTTCATATTCAACACAATGAACGCAAGTGACGCGGGCAACACTTGAAATGCAATACATCGCTTGTGCAACAGGGGGTAGCAGAGTCACCGGTACATTCCGGCTAGCTAGTACTGCTATTTTATTAGCGTGCAGGGCACTAGAACTGTCATATAAATGGGGGTGTGCCCGTACGAGTTCGCAAAGTTTTTCCTCCTCGCCCGCCATATTTCATACCTGCTTCTTCTGTGAATAACACAAAGTGGTTAATTTCAAGTACGTCGCTTGCATTATCACCCCCGCTGGCAACACATGGTATTACGCGCGTTGCTGCGTCGCGTATCAAAAAAATGTTTGAGACGCAAGTACACATCATGGCGGCCAATGCGTCTCCATGCATTCGCGTCTGCATGCCTTTGCGTCGACTATGAAACAGCCCTTAGACTTAATAGGCTATGTTACCGTGATTATAGGGCTCAAATATGGTTTGCGACTCCACACACATTTTTAAAAATTATCATTTTTGCTCAAAAATGGCTCACCTGGTTTAGACAAAAAAAACAAAAAACACTTGGTTCGGTTTAGGAAAACGTAATGTTTTGGCTGAAAAGACCCAGTTTGGTTGCTACAAACATGACTGGACATGTTCTGACATGTCATCAAAAATAACCCGCTCTAGTTGTTTGATGGTCTCAAACAGTGATTGGCGGCTTGGCAGCCATCTTGCCTGGGTTTCACACATCCACCATCCCCTCCACTTCCTGATAAGAAGCTCAGCTCATATACATGTAACCAAAATGTTGATATAATATGTATGAAATGTACAAATGTGCCAGATTTGCGGTTTGCAGAAACGTACCGTGCGAACATTTTACTTTGAGGACTGGGCCGTAGGTTCAGGCAACAAAAGGACTTTGCTTAAGATCAGGGGAAAACACTGGTTTGAGTTAAATGTGTATAAAAAGTTGAATTTTTCTATTTTAAACAAAGACCAGGGTCTTTCCCTTATCTCAGCTAAGTGCTGCGAGTGCCTCAACATAACCATACTAATACCAGCTGTAGTCTCTATGAGTGGATGTTGTCGAGCAAGATGTGACATTAGGGTGAAAAACAAAGTAAATACACTGTCAGTGATACGTTAGCTAACAACATCTCCTCTGGGTTTCATTACGTTTCCTTCAAAATGTACCAACTGTTGCAGACTAGTTGTATATAAAGGTCATTTCTAGGAGACAGGGCTGCAACATGAATGCTAACGTTGTGTCTGCTGGATGCGTGAGTAGGAAATGATTTGTTCACAAATACAACTTAAAAGGTGATAATATGAAAAATGAGTTTTACCTTGTTTTGCTTTTGTTTATAGTAAACAAAACCTTATTTCTACATTTCTAGGATGAAGCATTTTTGGCTCTTGATCAATATTACGGACTAAAAGTGACGACATTTTGGCTTTTTCTGCTTTTGTTTGATCTACTTCCTGCCTTCTCCAAGCAGGTTATGTTTTTGGTTTGATTTGTTTGTGTTTGTCAGCAGGAAACATTACAGGCCCTCTTTTCATTAGACTTAGTGAACAGGTGCAGCACGGGCCAAGGAAGAGCCCGTTAAATGCTGTAGCAAATATAAATCGCAGGGAGGACACACAAATTATATTTCACTTTTGTTAATGTGGCGAGACAGCGGGGCATTTGGCCTTGGTGGAGGTCTGCGCTCTCTGAGTGCAATTCCTGTTGTAATTTGTCTCTTGTGAGTGTCCAAAGCATTTTATGGAGATATAATACTAAACCATTCAAAATAAAGCTCAGAATACTTTCCCTTCAGCTGATTGTGGCGCTGATAAAAGTGCATACTTTAAATACTTAACTCATCAGGAGCAGTGCTCAGAGCTTATAATGGGGTCAAGTCAAGTAGGCGTATTATATCAGTATAAAAATGTGGATGTGAATGTCTTACATGATGAAATATGAGTCCTTCATTGACAGATGTGCTGGTCCTCCAGTCTGTCACAGTCAGTTTGATTAGATCTTTAAAGAAAGGTAAAACAAAAAGCTTCGGCATCCAGGTGACTCTGCCTCTCAGGCTGTACAAAACTGTGTCAACATCACTGATGTCATCAAAACTAAAGGCACACTGGGGTGTATTTACAGTGCTGGGGCTGTAGGTGGAGTCAGAAACTCTCAGCAGGCTTTGAACACACCCTGCCGAGTCAGAATCCCACTCAGCGTGGGAGGCAGAGGTAAAACCGGACACGTGCATAAGATCAAAGGTCAAATTTGACACTCTGGCTTCAACTCCAAAACTATCTGGCGCTCGTGTGCCGTCCTCTGCAGCACAGGATGAGTCTGACTCGCTCTCATGTGTGTAAACAGAATCAGAGTCCTGCTCCTGGACGCCATCAGAGTCTGAGCCTCCTCTGCCGTCAGAGCTGGAGGTGTCATCTGTATCTGCAGATCTGAGCTGCTCCTCTGAGAGTGACTCTGATCCTCTGACACACACATCTGCACAGCCGTCACATACGCAGGAGCCTCCGTGGCTGCAGGGGTGTGACGCTGAGTCAGTAAACTGTGGAGGCGGCGGGATGATCTCAGCTGATGTTGACGATGTCGTCTCTCTGCTTGCTGATTTTAGCCAATCGATCTCCTGCACCCACAGGCCCTGTATGATGGGAGGTTGTTCCCCGTCCTCTTGGCTCTGTCCTCTGGGTTTCCTGCGTTGTTTCCTCTGGAGGTGGTGGAGTGGGAGTTTGGCAGCCAGATGGAAGTCTTCGTCCTCTGTGTCACTCAGGAGGGCAGCGTCCATGTTGAGAGACCTGTCAGTTAGATGACATGCAGTATGTCATGTTCAGGGTATTCACTGAAATTAAGTTATTTATAGACAGTGTAAAGATCATTATATATTATCAAAGCTCATTTTTCCAGTTATTCTGATGGCAGTTATTTCTTCCTGAGACACTCTGATGGTACTGTGGGTTGTATGTTGTGAGGTACCTGTGCTTTTTGAGCAGCTGAGATCTTGTGTAAGGACACTGTGTGTTGGTGGGGCTGAACTCCTGATAGTCTTCTCCTGGGACAGAGAAATATTTAGTTAAAGTATCCAAAAACATAAATACATTCAGCCAAATTCTGCAAGGAGGAGTGATGAGGAAACTGAAACCTTGTTACATGTCTGTCTGTTTAACATGAGGCTACAGCTGATAGTTTGCACCAACAGTTTGCAGGAATTCTTTTTTTTTACAGGAAGGTTTATGTGTTGGAGTACCCTCTGGAGGTGTCTTGGGCCTATCATTGAAACAATCGACCAGTTAGAGTCCACCTTGGTTAAAGTTAGGTAAGTTTTTCTCCTGTTAGCTTCTTCTCTCTTCCCTCATCAAAATAAGGGAGTAAGGGGGAGGTAGGGTGTACGGCCTGGTCTGGCAGGGCGGAGTTCAGTCCACACAGATGTCTCTCCTTGGCTCTGCCTTCTCTATGCTCCTTCCCACTTTTCTGTTCATCTAACTTTAACCTTTTGACTCCCACTAAGAAACCCACAGGCTGTTGTAACATCCAGTCCTAAACTGAACTTCTTGACTCGGAGCAGTTTGAATCAACCAGCAGAGACTTCTGGCCATGACAAAGTTTGGCACATAACCCCCCTGTAAAATGACAAATTGATGTTTCTACACTTCTGTTTTTGTACATACTTACAAACAGGATACAGTGTGTGAATAATGAGCTCTGGAGACACTGACAGGCTGATTTTGTTACCTTTGGACAAGCCAGGCTGTTTCTCTCTGTTTCTAATCTGTATGCTAAGCTAAGCTAAGCTAAGCTAAGCTAACCACCTGCTGGTTGTAGCCTCTGACTATTTCACAGACAGACATGGAGTCGTATTCATCTTCTCATCTCAATCCCCACCAGAAAGCAAATAAGCACATCCTCCAAAATGTTAATATACTCCTTTAATATCAGTGCTTCAAATGTTGTTTTCCTAAATTATCTTTCTACCAGATTAAAGCCCAGTGTGGCATTTTAAATCAAAGCAGTAGAGGGTGAAATATTCTGGCTGTTTGAGCCTCTAGAACAAGTAAAAAAAGAAAAGAAAAAGAAAACCTGGATCCTACATGTCCCATAATGCAACTCACTAGCATCTCACATGACCACTGTCATCCACCTGGGTGTGTTTATCGTCCCTGAATATGGGCAAGTTTCAGTTCACTTTATGTCATCACACTCTGTGCAATATCTGTGTTTTAACATTTCATATTAAAAGTAGAATTACATGTTTTTCATCCAGTAGAAAACACATGACAATCAGTTAGATCACTGGTTCCCAACTGATGGCTTGTGGTCCAGAAGTGGGTCGCAGGTCCATTTTGAATGAACCACAAGTGACTTGCAAACCTGTCAAGTTTGTAAAAAAACGCAATTCATTTTGAAGTACAGTGAATTTCCGGGACAGAGCTTTTATTTTGAAGTGCTGTTTCTAGCTGTAAAATGAGTGACCAAGGGATAGCTGCGTAACAGAGACAGCAAACTAGCTCTACGACATAACGCTGAATATATTAAACTGTGTGGACCTTGAACTAATGACTAAGGAGAAAAGTTGTATAATTGCCTAGAGTTGGTTGGTGTTCTCACGGCAGCATTTACAAGAGGACCAGATCAAATGCCTTGTGTGAGAAAGCTGCTCTTGACTGGTCAGAATTTCCATGTGGGAAAAATCCAGGAAGTAAAGCAAACGTTGAAGAAGAGTACACTTGCAAGATAAATGTGACACTTTCTAATGTCACAATGGAGGGACAACTACGCAGGTTGATTTTAGCGCTGCTCATCATGGACTATATTGCTGTCATTGTTCATCAAACCAACTGGAGTTTGATTGAACCGAACCAAACAGGGCAGGTGTGAAAGCAGCCTTAAATCATCCTTAAAACACATCATACATTTCAATATAAAAAGCACCAGTGGAAACTGACCCTGTTTTAATGATAGCTTATCTACAGAGAAAGCCCCCCCGCCTCACTGTGGTCATTCATGCTTCATTCACTGATCCACACATGCAGCTCTTACTCTCTGCCTGTGCCACTATGGAGACACAGGCGTTCTCCTCATGTCCCTCAGTGACCACATGTTTGGCAGTGCCGTGCTGCATCACCCGACTCAGATGAGGGGCGATGGCCTGGACCAGCGAGTCCTTCTCCTCCTCACAAACTTGGCTGTCGTCCTCTTTGCCGAGAAATGAGAGTTCAGATCCTCCGGTCACGATGATGAACGGGGTGTTGGAGTTGAACATTCGGGGTATGGCCATTTCTCTGTCGCTGTGAGAACTGGAGAGGAGGATCAACAAAACATATCAGTACAGACAGATGTACTGCTTTGTGGGAATCCTCCTAAATTCTGGGGATGTGTTGACCCTTTGAATATAAAGATGTTAGCCAAAGATATTACAGAACAAGAGGCATGTGGGCCATGAATTTACTTCATCAACGTTTTTACAACCTCTGCACAGAAATAAGACAAAAGGCTTTTTTGCTGAGGTCTGTTCTTACCCTTGGAACCAGCATTTATAGAATATTATGGGAGCGATGAGACTGTTATTTATTTATTTTAGTTCTAGTCCTGTTTATTTAGTAGTACTTGTATTTGTCACTTGTTTCTGCACTACTCTACTGCTGCTGCTGCAGTCTCTATAAACAGATATCTGCATACGAATGCAGAATCTCAAGGTAACAGGACAAGATGTTTGTATTGGAAGCTTTCTGGTTTGCGTCTGTTGTCCGAGTAGTGTTGACCAATCACGTTTGAGTAAGCTGTGGCTGCACACAGGTAAGGAGTCCGTGTGGAGAGCAAAAGTGGCAGAACGCATTGGCTGATATATAATCTCAGAACCCAGCAGCTATTGTCTTACAACGACGTTGCATTTTATGAGCTTTTTTCAAAAAATCATCTGCCTTTATCTGTCGACAGAGATTAGCCAACACGTTCTAGGCTTAGAAAACATGGCTTGGCTTAAAGTAAGTATGGTTGTTACTAACAGCATTTAATGTCACAGAACATATGTCATGCTATACACACTAGCACACTACTTTGTTATCAAAATAACTCACTAACTTTTGCTTTCATACGGGAAACGAAAAGCGGGCTCCAAGGTGAATGTCTGAGGTTTGTTTGACCAATCCACCTCCCTCCCGGCCCCATACGGACTTTCTCATTATCTATACTATGGTGGTAGCCAGTGCATTTCATATGGCCATAAAAAGGGCTTTTGTGCGTCAGCAGCCCCTTTTACGCTGCCAGATTTTCCGCGAATGTTGGGCCGTTTTGCCGGCAAGCTGCGAGTGTTTAGACACACAGAGCCGGATTGGCGAGTTGATCCGAGGTGCCCAATTTCCCGCCTGTTGATGACGCCGCACGTGCGACCCACTGGCGGTGGATAAACAGGAAACAGCTGATAGCAGGAATTCGCGAGCAGCTAGTAGCAAGAGGGAAACACAAACCTGACAGACACTGTAAAGATGAGCAACTGGGGAGACAAGGAATTGCGCGCCCTCCTTGTCCTCGCAAACGAAGAGGCCATTAACCGTCAGATGACGGGGACGGTGAAGGACGGGTCGACTGTTTACGTCACACGCTGAGCTACACGTTTTGTTACTTGCTCACGCCCCCCATTGCCCCGAAAAAGGCACATTCTGTATAAACAAAAGTAGGTAGGCGGCATTTTGCTGCACTCCCCGATTTTGTTTTTATACTGCCAATGCTGAAAAAACACTGATTGGGCTTTCCTGCAAATTTGCACAAATCCTATCTAAAAAGGGCTAGTATCTGATGCTAATGTCCACTGACAAAGCGGCGTTATTTGCTGAGTTGGGTTGTTGCCCGCTTTGTCAACAACTGCGGCCACCAGATGCATGCGTAGCATACCGCTGCATTGGTGTCTAAAACCGCGATCACTGACAAACTGAGGAGTTTGAAATGAGCAAGCGCTGGATTAGCCAGAATGTTTTCTGGACCTGTCTGAATTTGCTTATCAAACTGTAAACAAGTGCCACACGGTAGAGGAAGTCTCGGCTACAGTGGATCTCCTAAGATATTGGCCGTTGCCCCCAGAGCCTTGATTGAGACACTGTTGCTGCTGGGAAACGCAAATTTACCCCTGGAATAAATAACATATCTGTCTGTCTATATCTGTCAGATCAAAGTGAAATTGTGGCCTCATGGTGGAGCCAGACAAAAAGCCAGGATGAATGAAGTTGTTAGCACTCATCACGCATGTCTGTACAAAATTTGGCGCTAATCCGTTCAGTAGATGTTGAGATATTTCACTGGATATTCAGTGTAAACAGCCTGCTGGTGGCACCAGAATCAAAGTCAGAGGGTCAGCAACACCTTTAGGGTTCATCCTCTGGAGACCGTGATGTACATAATTTAATGACAATCCAGCTAGTGACTGCTGAGAAATTAATCTCTGGAACAATGCGGTGAAATAAACATCCATCTCTAATTATGGGGATATATTGGATTTTTCATGTATATAATGTGTTTGCCGTGGTCACCATTAAAGTATTATGGTCTGTAAAACCAGTAAAAGACCTCAGCATATTCCAGCTCTGGTTGTCAGTAGGTTCAAAGTGTCAATTGATGATATTCCCACATTGATGGAATGGCAGAAACAGCATATTTGTAATTGGCACTTATTTTAATGTGGTGGCATTTGCCGCGGCTGGGCGTGAATGATTAGACACCAGTAGTGATCCTGGCAAGGTGAGTATAAATAGCACGCAGAGATTTGGCACGCAGGGAAGCAGCCGCATGCCTTCCACTGCACCCGGGCCAGCTGTCGGAGTCTCTCTTCCTCAAACACTCGCCATGTTGACAGCGAATACTGGAGGGGATCAAAACACACACGCTCACCACACATAAAGACGGTCCTGAAGTCCTCGTACGCAGAGCGAGACGGTGGGGGAGATATCGAATCTTTTAGTAGTGCTTCTGGTTGATAATGCGAGGATGTGAAACTGTGAAAACTATAACTACGTTATAGGTTTTAAAAAGGACAAGCAAAATAAAAGTATCACCTGAGCTGTGGACACGTCCAAAGTAAAATAAGATAAAGCTTTGATGCAGCAGCACAAGGACAGAAATACAGATATGTAGAAAAAGTTAAATAAATAAATAAATAATAAGAGTTATATAAAACTAAAATAAATGAGGTAATGTGACAGTAGTATAATAAATAATAACTCTTGTGCACAATAATTTAAACTTACTCGTACTACAGTGATTATTTAAGACTCAATCTTCCAAAACATGCAAGATCAATCATCCCAAACACTGATAAACTCTTCCCATGGTGCACCTCTAACACTTCCTGTCGGCTACACTGCTCGCCTCCCTCTGTGACCTGACAGTGAGAACACCTCTGATCAAACTAAAGTCAGACTGACGGCGTGGTTTAAAGTTTCCAGCCAGGTGAATCTGTGCACCAGCAGAGCACGTTACCTCAGTGAGTGACGGTCCGTCAGTGTGTCAGGCTCAGGTGAGATCTCTGCGGTCGCTCCTGTAGAGAGACAGAAGAAGAAGAAAGTGTGTTTCCTGACTCTGTTCGTCCTGTGTGTTCATGTCCAAGTGTAACCTACCGGCTTTCTGCCCCCGCAGGCTCCGCTGATTGGTTGACCATGTGTGTGAGTTACGAGCTCTTACACCTCAGTCACCCCGGCCCACTGCCCCCCTCAGCACACCCACCACCCACACACAGCAGCTTCCAAACACTCCAGATGGACTGTGTGGATGCCCCCTGTGACATTTGGATACTTGCTGTCCTGTGAGTTTTCTTTTATTTAAAGAGTTGTAACTAAGTACATTTACTCCTGTTTGGTACTTAGGTACAATTTTGAGGTAGTTGTACTTTCCTCCTTCACTCTACTTTCTACTTCTACTCTACTTTATCTCATCAGATTTATCTGACACTGTTAGTTGCTTTAAAAATTAATATTTTTACATACAAAACATACGAAGAGTTCATGAAATATGAATATCGTTATAAATTGAAGTACCTTACAATTTAAGTGGCAACACAGCTGAATTGAGTCGATCAAAATAATTGTTAATTACGTCACTTGTCTTTCAAAGGAGCTGTATGCAACATTCCTGAGACGGGATTGCCCACACACGGCTCTCAACATGGCTGAGCTGGCTAGCAGCTAACAGCGCTAACACTGCCAACAATGGCAACAGTGCTAACTGTGTTAACATGGGGGGGACACCTCCAAGACAACACCATCTTACCACCATTTTGAGTGTTAACTGCTGTACACATCTCATGAATGCAAACATTTAATGGGTGCTACAAATATATTTTTTACACCACAATCCTGATGAAGAGAGAGCTGAGCCGGAAGGCAACACTTTCAATTTACTGGCCCATAAGTGTCCCAACCCTCACCTATGGTCATGAGCTCTGGGTAGTGATCGAAAAAACGAGGTCACGGACACAAGCGTCTGTAATGAGTTTCCTCTGTAGGGTGTCTGGACTCAAGGACATGGGACATCCGGAGGGAGCTCAGAGTAGTGCTGCTGCTCCTTATCATTGAAAGGGGTCAGCTGAGGTGGTTGATTCTCACTCTGACCTCGTCAAATTTTGACATTTGGTCATGGACTTTCCACGTCCGCATATGCTGGCAAGGTACCCTGGGTGTGTTGGTTGTTGACGTTCTGGGACGTGTCAAGTTCTGCCTGTAACATGCATCATCTACTTTCAAAATACATTTCTGTTTTCAGAGAAAATTAAACGTTTACATACAGTCTTTTTCAAAATAAAAGCACTGCGTCAGTACAACACCTTGAAATTATGCTTTTTTTCCTTGAACAAAAAAAGCATGTGGTTGGGTTTATAAAAAATACAGGGATTGGCATTAGAATCTTACAGGATGCGAACACCGCTCTCTCGGGTTAAAGTCGTGTTTGTTGGACCCACCCACCACCCCTCCTACCTGCCCCAGTCGGACTCTCGCAGCCTTGACTTTCATCCTTGTCCCACCGCGTTACCCCCTGACACCGGTTAACTATAACAACAACCAGCCTGGTATCATACTGACGTTAAAGGACAGCTTGTTTTGTTGGTTGCTGACGCCGCAAGTCACTGACCAAACACTGGATTTGGTCTGGGCTCTCCGGGCATCTGATCAGGATCCTCCTGGGCGCCTCCCATTAGAGGTGTTTGGGCATGTTCCACTGGTAGGAGGCCCCGGGGCAGACCCAGAACACACTGGAGGGATTATATATCTCATCTGGCCTGGGAACAACTCGGGGTCCCCCAGGAGGAGCTGGAAAGCGTCTGGAATACTTTGCTCAGGCTGCTGCCCCCACGACCCGGAGTTGTACATCAGTAATGTACATTTACACATAAATCATCAGTGCATATGCAAGTATGTTGAGTGTACTGTAAGGTATACTTAGTACTTTTAATAATGGATTGATTACAAAGAAAAACTTGGATGTAAAAACATAAATTTAAGGAAAAGATTTAGCGCAATTTAGTTTTTTACCTTATGGACGATGGAGAGTACCTCAGACATGACAGAACAGGGTATTTTAATTGTTATTTAGAGTAATACATTTGAATTACAATAAAGGTACTCAAAGTTATTCTATTTTAGCACAACTAAGTGCATTGAAATATACCGTGAAAAGTCTGAAACTGAGCTTTAGTATTTCTAAAAGAACGGTATACATACTTCTTTATGTCTTTAACTTCTAAAATAATGCATTTAATATGCACTTCTTTTTCACCTGGTCAGCATTGTCAGATCTGGTTTTGAACAAGTTTGCGTGATTTAACCGTCAAAAACTTTCATGAGTGAATATTGTAAAGAGTATGAAGTTGAGATGAAGTTTTGTTTCTAGACAGTTTGATTAATAAATATATATTTAAAGTGTAGCGCTCTCGTATGAAAGAAAAACAACAACAATGACGTTTGCTAACGTTTAGTTTCCACCCCAACAACACACTTGCTGTCCCACATAGAGATGAGCAGAATATATACATTCCTGTGGGAATTAACAAAATACCAGAGCAGGGAGTGTGTGTGTGTGTGTGTGTGTGTGTGTGTGTCATAGGGGTGAGGGTCCCTCTCCCTAGCAACATCTGAATGGGATCAGAGGCCGACCAATAGTGAGGCTGAGGAGAAAGTTTGCTCCCACGTCAAAGGGTTTTTGTCACTTTAGTCCTCTCTGCTGTTGGTGGGTCAAGTCTGCTAAACATAGACCTGAAAAGCCTCCCAGAGGTTAAATACAGCTGCTCACAGGCCTCATTTACTAGAAACTGATTAATTAATAGACACTAGTTGAAACAAATCAATACACTAACACAAAACTCTTTTCTTATGCTCACTGTTTGACATTTTGGGAAACAAATGCAGAGAGTTAAAATGTATGTTCCTGAGGCTATACAGCCAGGAGCTGGTTAGCTTAGCTTAGCTTCAACACTGAACACAGAGCACAAATAGCCCTCGTTCAAACATTAAACTTCCAGTACAACCACAAATAGTCGTCTTAACATTTTTGCTTTTGTACAGACAAAACAAACAAAAAATGACATGCTAATTAATGAGCTTTGACTAAATGCTAAGCAAAGTTTTTTGTTACCTTCGACAGAGCCAGGCTAGCGGCTTCCCCCTGCCTCCAGTCTTCATGCTAGCAACTGTTAGCCTCCACCAACACCTTTTTAAGTGACAAGAGACATTTTGATATAAATAGAAAAACTCCATCATAATATTTCACATGTATTTTGCTTATACCAAGAGATAACTAAACAGTGAAGTTGATGATCCGACATTAGGCTAACTCCTCTTGATGTAACGTTAGCTATACATTAGCTAGCTAACAGCTAACATAAGAGGTGACTAAATAGAATGTAATGAGCCCATAAAGACTGTGACAGTCTCCCAGCATCATCATTTGAGTATCTTTAAAATTCGGGTTTCTTAACATTTTCAACTAGCATGGAGCATAATCTAACTACAACAGGAAAGAGGAAAAGTTGATCAAGGTCCTAAAACCTGGAAATGAGTTAGCATTGTAGCACTCCTGGTTCCCTCATCTCCGAGACAATGGGATTTTTGAATGGGTTTTTGGTTAGATGCCTGTGGTTAACACAAACTGAAGAGACTTTAATGTTGTCTTGTACGACATAAAATAAGTCAGTAAATACCCTGTGCTGAATTTAGAAGCTTTTATGTCTTGAAAAGGCGGTTGCTAACAAATGGCTAAGACTATACGTCATCATGCCGAGCACGGGTTTACAATCTCATTGACATCATGCGACTGCATTGTATTTCGTTTATGGCCTAACATTAGTTCTAGTGATTGCAGTATGGTTTCTAAAATCATAAAAGTGATGTTCATTTGAGATTTAAGATTATCTTGTTGAACAATACATGAACGCATCATAAATATTTGCTCGCCACAGAGCTTATTCTCTGCAATGATCCAAAATGCAAGTTTAAAGTGGTGTGTCGTATTTTTTATTTTTCTGAAGCCAAAAGCACACAGAGAGATGTTGGATCTAGATAAAACATTGTTGAAAACCTCACTCATAGCTGAGTCCATCAAACAAAAACTCCCTCATTTGCTTCAAGGTAAGATGCTAACTAACGCAAGCTAACGCAGCACGTTAGCTAACAAAGACAGTTGAATATTAATTCTAAATTACTTAAGTTTTAACTTTACGTTAGGTAAATTTTATACCATTTGAGGCTGATTGTGCTTTAATAAAAAATGCAGGATAATTTACTTTTGCTATCAATAACATATATGAGACAGCGGATAGCGAGTCACAACTAACGTTAACTTAAAATAAAACAATACATTGACTTATATTGACCACTGAAGCAGGTGCCTGACTTGCTTTGAGCCACTGAACTTTTCCCTCGATTTTAACATCCTCTTCATTTGTAGTCCTTTGCCTACAAATTATAATCTTTTTATTATTTGGAGTATCTCCCACTGATATCGTGGAAAATGCTGTATTGACATGTCTGGTGTGAGGGCTGCACAGGCCTGACAACAGTAACCAAGAGTGGCTGAAATTAGCTAACGGTCATTTGATGCAGGATACAGATTTAGTAAATTGTAGTTACTGAACGGTGTCTTTGAGGAAATAATTTGCCTTTTTTTAAGTCACTTATTTGCTAACTTGTTGAGCCCTTTAAATATGAGGCCACAGCAAGAAGCTAGTTAGCTTAGCTTAGCACCAAGTTTGGAAACAGGCGGAACACCCAGACAAAGAAAAAACTGAACAAAATACACATCCATGTCATTACTACGGCTAGGGCGGCAAGCTTCCTTGCAAATTCAAAATAAAAAATATGTTCATAGTACTAGGCTACTAAATTTGTACCTTTAGCAGGTTTCTCATAAATTCTCAAACATTTATCATTAATAACGTAAACAGTATGTTAAACATTCTTTTAACGAGCTACAATTTAAAAAAAAGTATATACATTATCTAATTCCTTCAAACAAAAAATAGGCTACTTGAGATTTATCATTACCATTCACATTTTTGTACATAAACCTGTACTGGTATTTGCAAAATATTTCTGCCTGTAACTGACCTTTGGGTAACAAATAGTCATCTGAACTGAACTCCCCAAATTAATTTAAAATGAAAACAGCCGCCTCTTTAGGAACACTTTGTTAGGGGAGGTATGTAA